TATGGACCCATAAATTAGGCTGATATGACAATACAGTAACAGGAGAAATTGCATTATTGGCCCAATTGGTGGTGCTATATCTCAACTTCCTTTGAGGGTGCGTTAAAAGTTCCAATGGGGCCTTATTTCCAGGGCCCTTGACTGTGACCATGCAAATGTTCAGATATTTTTAATGTAGCATTTGTAAGTTATGGACCCATACATTTGGCAGATATGACAATACAATAACAGGAGAAATTGCATTATTGGCCCAATTGGTGGCGCTATATCTCAGCTTCCTTTGAGGGTGCATCAAAATTTCTACTGTGGTCTTATTTCCAAGGCACTTGACTGTCAACATGCAAATTTGCAGATATTTTTACTGTAGCATTTTGAAGTTACGGACCCATACATTTGGCAGATATGACAATACAATAACAGGAGAAATTGCATTATTGGCCCAATTGGTGGCGCTATATCTCAACTGCCTTTGAGGGTGCGTTAAAAGTTCCACTGAGGTCATATTCCCAGTGCACTTGACTCAGAGTGCATTGCGGCATGAATAAATTATGCAGTTGCTTTGTTTTACAGTTGTTGATTTTATTTGCCAATTTTATTTGCTGTCTTGTGTCAGTAGTAGCACAACAAAAAGACCAAATAAAATGGTTATTGTTACAATTAATGAAAATAAATGAAATTGAATTGTTACCATTGTTGTGGTTCACGTGGTGAATGTTTAAGTCTGTGTGACTCTAGTATATTACCACACACGATTTTAGGATTATATAAACCCAATTAAAATCATCTTAAGGTATTTGTGAAAAACGAAATAGCTCATTAATAAACACACACAATAAATTCACTAATGCTTTAATTAGAAGATAGTTCACCTTCTAAAAGCAATCTATTTATTACTTTTCTTCCCTTGAAATCAAATAACTCTTACTTCATGATGCATTGCTGTCACCCTCAAAGGAAGCTGAGATATAGCGCCACCATTTGGGGCAATGATGCTATTTTTCCTGCTATTGTATTGTCATATCTGCCAAATATATGGGTCCAAAACTTAAAAATGCTATAGTACAAATATCTTAAAATTTTCATGGTAACAGTCAAGGGTCCTGGGAATAAGGCCCCAGTGGAACTTTTAAAGCACCCTCAAAGGCAGCTGATATATAGCGCCTCCAATTGGGCCAATAATGCAATGTTCTCCAGTTACTGTATTGTCATATCAGCCAAGTTTATGGGTCCATAACATAAAAATGCTCAGGAAAAATGTCTGAAAATGTGTGTGGTTACAGTCATGTGCACTGGGAATATGACCTCAGTGGAACCTTTAACGCACCCTCAAAAGAAGCTGAGATATAGCGCCACCAATTGGGCCAATAATGAAATTTCTTCTTTTATTTTATTGTCATATCTGCCAAATGTATGGGTCCATAACTTAAAAAAAAATGCTACAGTAAAAATATCTGAAAATGTGCATGGTCACAGTCATATGCCTTGGGAATAAGACCACAGTATGACTTTTAACGCACCCTCAAAGGCAGCTGAGATATAGCGCCTCCAATTGGGCCAATAATGCAATGTTCTCCAGTTACTTTATTGTCATATGAGCCAAGTTTATGGGTCCATAAAATAAAAATTCTACAGTAAAAATGTCTGAAAATGTGCGTTGTTACAGTCAAGTGCACTGGAAATATGACCTCCGTGGAACTTTTAACGCACCCTCAAAGGAATCTGAGATATAGCGCCACCAATTGGACCAATAATGCAATTTCTCCTCTTATTGTATTGTCATATCTTCCAAATGTATGGGTCCATAACTTAAAAATGCTACAGTAAAAATATCTGAAAATTTACATGGTCACAGTCATATGCCTTGGGAATAAGACCACAGTATGACTTTTGACGCACCCTCAAAGGAAGCTGAGATATAGCGCCTCCAATTGGGCCAATAATGAAATGTTCTCCAGTTACTTTATTGTCATATCAGCCAAGTTTATGGGTCCATAACATAAAAATGCTACAGTAAAAACATCTGAAAGTTTGCATGGTCACAGTCAAGGGCCCTGTAATTAAGGCCCCAGTGGAACTTTTAACGCACCCTCAAAGGAAGTTGAGATATAGCGCCACCAATTTGGCCAATAATGCAATTTCTCCTCTTATTGTATTGTCATATCAGCCTAATTTATGGGTCCATAACTTCAAAATGCTACAGTAAAAATGTCTGCAAATTTGCATGGTTACAGTCAAGGGCACTGGGAATAAGACCAAAGTAGAAATGTTAACGCACCTTCAAAGGAAGCTGAGATATAGCGCCACCATTTGGGGCAATAATGCTATTTTTCCTGTTATTGTATTGTCATATCTGCCAAATGTATGGGTCCATAAGTTAAAAATGCTACAGTAAAAATATCAGAAAATCAAAATTTGCATGGTAACAGTCAAGGGCCCTGGGAATAAGGCCCCAGTGGAACTTTTAAAGCACCCTCAAAGGCAGCTGATATATAGCGCCTCCAACTGGGCCAATAATGAAATTTCTCCTGTTATTGTATTGTCATATCTGCCAAATGAATGGGTCCATAACTTAAAAATGCTACAGTAAAAATATCTGAAAATTTGCATGGTCACAGTCATATGCCTTGGGAATAAGGCCACAGTATGACTTTTAACGCACCAAAGGCAGCTGAGATATAGAGCCTCCAATTGGGCTAATAATGCAATTTATCCTATTGTATAGTCATATCTGCCAAACTTATGGGTCCATAACTT